TTTGCTTGGAAGTCTCGTACACTTGCTTGATTTTCCTCGGCTTCAGGACCCATTTCTTTGCGACAAGAGCGACATTGTCCTGGTCCTGCTCTCCTTCAGGGCTTCGGTCCGTGGCAGGTCGCTGCCTGCTTTTCCCGGGCTTGGCAGCAGGTTTCTTCTTGAGCCTCATTCTGACTCGCCCCGCTGCCAGGCGCGCCTTCCACTCCGGGGCAGGGGCGGTTGCTCTATAGGCCCTTAGGAGCGATTGGACCACTCGGGCGATGTAGTTGCTCTTCTCCTCCTCCGTGGGTGGCCCCTCGTGCGTCCTCTCCCTCCTCTGGCTCTGGAGGTGGAGCGCCCTAGCCACTCCATTCATGTACGTCTCCATAGTGGGGAGGAAGAGGCATTCTTCCACATCCCACACTGCTCGGAGGATTTTCCATGTGAGTTCTGAGTCATCCGCTCCTCTTCTCACCAGTTCTTGCCCCAAGTCCACTAGTTCCCAATACCAGGGTGCCGCTTCACCTAGTGGGACCTCATCAAAGGCTCTGGTCTCGAGTGCCTGCCCGATCGCTGGAATCCAAATCCAGGTAGAGAGTAGCGAGATCGTGTCCGTGAGGGCACCCGCATGCTTTCTTCCAGACAGCTTGCTGCCAAGTTCTCTCCCTCGTTCTGCTGAGTGGCCCCGTTGCGGTGGGCAAGGCGCTGGTAGTCGGCATTCTCCAGAGTCCTGATGCCGGGGTTGGTGCGGGGCATCCCATTGCGCCTCCGCCTGCTGCTGTGCTTGTGGCTGTGGGGCCCTGTCTTCACTTGTTCTGTCTGTGCTGCGTGGTAGGTCAGGGTCGCCGGTGCGAGGTAGTTCGGAGTCGTGCCGCCGTGCGCCTTCCGGAGGGTGGGGTAGTCGAGCGAGTGGTCCATGACCCTGGTGTCGTGCTTCGTTTCCAGGCCGTGGTATCCATGCAGGCAGCGGTGGGTATTGCTGTTCTGACTCAGAGGCGTTCGTCCTCATCGTGCTGGTTGGGCTTTTGGGGGCGCCCGCTCCCTGGTCAAGGGCCCGTTGTTTTGTGCCATGCGGTAGAGGGGGGCCGTTGCTGCGAGGTAGTTCAGGGCCTTGCCGAGGTGCAACATCCGGGGGATGTGGTAGGGGTGCGAGTAGTCCAAGATCATGCCGTTGGGCTGCTTCTCGGGGTCGTGGTAGTTGAGCATGTAGCAGCAGACCCTGTTGCTCCTCCTGGATCATCCCCCTTGGTGCGTCTTGCTCATCAGAGCTTTGCGGGTGGTCCGGGTCTCCTAGTTGTGGCGGTTCTGGGTCATTCCCCGGTGCATCCCTCGGGGTTTGTGGTGATCCATCAGGTAGTGCAGGGTCGTGCCGTCGGGCTGCTTCTCGGAGGAGTGGTGGTCGAGCAGGTAGCGGCAGGTCTAGATGTCGCTGCCAGGTGGTGAGCTTCCTCGGCGTGTGCGTTGTGTTTCTGTGGGTCTCCATCTCCCAAGGAGTATCCTGCTCATCTTCCTGAGAGGGGGCACGACCATTCTCAAAGGGAGGTCTGCCCGATGCCTGCGGAACCCGCCGGGCATCATCGAATTGAGTGTCCCCCTGACTCCATCGAGAGTCTTCATCTTCTGGAGGGGAAGCCAAAACCGCTGCCACAAGCAGCACTGCTGTCGTGAAGAGTCGCCGCGCCATGGTCTGAGGAGGCGGCGTGAGCAGCAAAAAGGGCTGCGAAGGACAGGCTGAAAAGAATCACTGGTGAAAGCCTCAGTCAGCACAAGGGTCTCTGTCTGCAATGCAAGCCATCATGTCAAAACTGAAAGGAAAGAACCATCCACTCAGGTACCGAAGTCGGGTGTCACATGTGATATGTATGAATGCATGTTGGTGTGTTTGGGCGTGGGTAGGGGAGCAGGCAAAGGTGGGGGGGGGGGGGGCATATCACCCACTGGGTTCATTCGCTCCCCCCGCTGCTATTGCTCTCCGTGGCTGGGGGCTGGATGTGTGTAGGCTTGCCCCGGTAAGAGCAAGTTGTCTGCCTGAGGTCCAGGATACGTCTTCTCTGCGAATCCACTCGGCTTGTGCTCGTTGCCATGCTTGGGGGTCAGCCGCCAGCTGGCGCCAGTCGTCACATCCGGCCGCCCTGTTGAGCCGAAGCTCGTCATTGGACAGGTAGGGGTAGAACGAGGCTGGGTGCCGCAGGCCGTCTGCCTCTCTTTGCTGCTGTCTCCACCACTGGTACGTGCGGAAGCTGTCTATGACACTGCTCGCCGGGGGCTGTTCTCGCTTCGCCCCTCTGGCGACATGTCCTTTATAATTCCAGTACCTCTGCAACCATAGCGAGCTCCAGCGAGGCTGTTCGTTGTTGACCAAGAGCTGCCGTGCCGCTCTTCGGCTTCTACTGTGGTATTCCAACCATGTCTCCTCGCCTCGCCTCTTGAACCCGGCCATTCGGGAGACAAGTTCGAGCTGCAGGCTGTTGACTGCTCCCAGGGCTTGCGGACTGGGTGGGGCAGCTGAGGAGTACCACAGTGCGGCGCCGCCCACCGTGGACGCAAACAGCTTCAGGCGTTCTTTTAGAGGGGTCCTGCATTCGAGCATCGCTCTCGAAGCAAAGTACTTCTTTCTTGCTTTTGCCAGGGCTGCATCCATGAGGCTGGCGGGCCGAAGTGGGACGCTCAATGAAATACCCATGACTTCCAGGCTTTCCCTCGGTGCAACTTGGACCCCTTCGAGAGTGAGTGCGCCTCGTTCTGTGGCATGCGGGCTCGCATAGTAGGCCGTCTTCTTGGGGTTGACCTGAAGACCCCATTCCCCAAGAGTGCGCTTGAGGATGTTGTACTTGGTCAGCAGACTGGCTTGGTCACCGGCCCATATGATTAAAGAGGAGTTCCGACAATCTGAGGTCTGGTGCTGGTCCCAGCCTTTTGGGCCATTCCTTCGCTGCCTGTGCATCTCTGAGGGCTAATTCCATGGCCACCGAGAAGAGCCATGGGCTCTCTACGGCCCCCTGTCTGATCCCTCTGGTCTGGCTGATGTGCCCTTCTCCCCACGGGGTGCGGATGGTAGCTTTTCCTGGTGCGAGCAATTGCCGCCAGCTTTCGTACTCCAGGTGCATGTGCTCCGGCAACGCTTGGCGGAGATAGTCCAGTGCTTTGGCACGATTTAGGCTATCGAAAGCCTTCTTTATGTCGATCTTTACCCAGTGGAGCCCCCAGCGCCACTCTGTGTCGAGCTGAAAGGATCGGATCGATGCGAATACGTAATCGGCCGTTTGGCGGCCTGAGTGCGAGCACTGCTCTGGGCCAATCGGCCGAATGGCCGCCTTGGTTCTCTGTAGAAGCATGGTACCATACACCTTGCCGACTGCGCTGCCCAGGCTGATGGGGCGAAGGTCCCCGGGGCCGCTCGGGGCGGCGACCTTGGGGAGGAGCGTGACGACAGTGTGCAGCCACTCTGGCGGGATAGACCCTCCCCGTCGGATGTCCTCCATCCATGCCAGCAGTGCCTCTGCCGTGGGGCCGTCTTTCATGAGGCTCTGCAGTAGCTCGAAGGAGGTGAGGTCACTCCCCACTGACTTGCCCCGCTTACCCTTCTGGACTGCGGCCTCCAGTTCGCTCATGTCGAAGGGATCTGAGGCGTGCTTGTCTTTGTTCCACTTAGGTAGCGGTTCTGGCCTGGGTTCAGAGAAGAGCGCTCTGAAATGGGCTATCGTCCATTCGTGTGGTTCATGCCCCGCACTGTAGGCCTCCTCAGACATGTGAACCGCCCATGTGTCACCACCGTGCTCCTGCTTCACCTCTCGGTAATCTTTCCAATTTCGCTGCGAGGCCCTGGCCAGCTTCTCACTGTGCCATCTATCTCTAGCCGATCGCCTGGCTTTGTGGGCTCGCTTCCAATCGGACTCTCTACCACTCTGTTTTGCTTGCTTATAGTAGTCCTTGACCTCGGGGGGGTCACGGTATCGGGTCCCTGGTTTGGGCCCTGTGTGGTCTCGGGCAAGCTGCATGAGTGTGTGCTGGTCGACTTGCTCGAGGCTCGGGAGCTGTGCGACTACCATCCGTGGTCTGGTGGCAGCTGTCATGGTTTCTCTGTCCCTGCAAGGCAACGCTAGGTCAAGGTAAAGGCGATCATGGTCGCCCCCTATCTGGCGGTAGCTGCGCTCTTCTATGTTGACATGGGGTACAGGGAACCCAGCAGTGGCGGCACCATCGATCTGTCTGCCCCTGGCCCCTTCTCGTCTCGGCCTGCTGGTGGGCACGTGCCACTGCGACTCATGCGGTGGGCAGAGCTGCAGCCCTCTACCCTCAAGTTCGGTCACCAGGTTGTCTGCTCTCCCGCTGGTGGGCCTGACATGCCCCCTTTGCCCTCCACCGGCACTCCAGTTTAGTCGAGTATTGTAGTCTGCCATGAGGACGACCTGGTTCGGGTGAGAGGGACGGAGGCGGAGAAGGTCCTGGACTTCCTCTGCAGTGATGTCGTCTGTGACCCCGGTGCTCAGCCTAGCAGAGCCTACCCACATCTCGGATTGCGTTTGTGTGTGTCTGAGTTTCACCCAGACGCCCACATGGTTTGCCTTCCTCCTAAGGCATTTGAAAGCTCCTGTGCGAAAGAGGACCCCGTTGCCCCTCCATTGTCGGAGGTCGTCTCGGTATTGCACAAGTGTGTGGCTGTCATCGACTATGGTTGTCTGCCACCCCGCCTGGGTGCGGGGCAGCTCCTGGAAACATGCGATTGTGTCTGTAGAGGTTTTTAGGATCTCAATGGCTTTCAGTGCATCTTGCACCGGCTTGCCACCGATGTTCCAAGAGTAAATTCGAAGTGCACCTCGCTGACAGGTGGGCCCTTGGGGCTGTTCACCTCCAGCGGGTGTGGTAGAAAAGGGTTGAGTGTTCCCGGCCACTGCTCTCGGATCGGTGTGTATTTCGCAGGTCGGCCCGAGGAGCCCTCTCTGGGGCTCTGGCTGAATTTCAAAACTTGCATCTTCTGCCTCTTCCGAGGCCGGCTCAAGGTCAGTCGAGCTGGTGTCTTCTCAGTACTCGTGGAACTTGTCCCATCGCTCCTTGAGGTCAAGCTCCGCGCACCCGAGCATTCTCGCCGATGTGGAGAGATCCAGCCAGGCTTGGGGAGTTTTTCCTTCACACGTGGTCACCCCGATCGGCTTGGTCCTGGTGGCGCTTCCAAGTAGTGCTCCGCGTAGCCATACCGACCCGGCATTCCATTCCACGTCGATATGCCCTCGTTCTTCCGAGTTCACTTCCAGTACCAACCTCTTCAACTTGCCTGCATGACTGGACCTCAGACGCTCCAGCTTAGTCTTAGAGAGGGATCCCCAAAGGTTTTTGTCCAGCTGCATGTTGTCCGCTCGCAGCCCTGCCCCTCTGATAGTCTGGGCAATGGTGATCATCCTTCGTTTGAGGTCGCTCTCGGACTCCCCGGGTAGGGGGGCCACTAGCCCGAGGGCATTGCCACGTCTGGGTCCCGTGGTGAACAGGTCCTCGAAGTGTCGGTAGACATCGATCTTCTGCAGCATTTCCCTCAATTCGGAGAGCAGGACATCCCTGTGGGTGTCCTGCCCCCACCCGCCAAAGATCATAAGGTTCTTGCGGCTGCCGCGATCACGGTCCTCAGGCATCACCGCCCCGACCCCTCCTGCCTCCAATGCTAAGAGACGGGCTTCCATCTTCTCTCCCTGGTCCCGGAGCTGTTCTATATAGTCGCCATGGCGGCGGACCTCGTCCCGCACCGCCGTGATCTGAGCCGAGGTCGTCTTCCTGATGTCAGAGATAGCTGCCTTGATCTGCTGCTCTTGGTGGTTCTGGATCTGTTGACTCTGTTCTTGCAGCAAACGCTGCAGATCAGCCAAAGTAACCCCCTTCTCCGATCGGCCACTGGTAGGCGAGGCTTGCTCTCTACGCTTGCCGCTCTTGACAGGACGGTCATCCTCCAGGTCCGGGTCATCGGACTCCAGCCCCCCGGGTAGTGGGCCCCCCAGCCCCGGCGGCATCTTGGCCCCACGGCGCTCGCGCGCTGTCATGCCCGCAGAGAGGGAGTCTAGGAACGGGGGGGGGAGAGCGGTCACTTGAGCCTTGAGCCAAGATTGGGCTTGAGCCAATCCACGGTTTAGGGTTTAGGGTTTAGTGCTTCGGGTTGAGGGTTTACAGTGGGGTTTAGGGTAGTGAGAATCACCAGAGGTGATTGGTAGTACGATCGTGACAATGACCAAGGCAACAGCAGCTACAGTCCTGAGAATCACAGCCACCGAAGCGTTAGCCAGTACGCACTTGATCAGCTTGGCTCAATTTTCCATAGTTCAGGAATGATCTGTACACTCACTTACAAGAGTCTGTCTCTGTTATCGTCTATACAACTGTACAACCAAACTCGCCACACACGGCAAGCGAAAATGCCCAGCATCTTGTAGATGCAGTTCTGGGCGTCTGACCTCGCAGACGCGAGGACCCCCAAACACGGCAGTCCGGCGTTCGATCTCGTGAGAAACATCGCGGATCCAGGCCAATGCTACGCATGTGCAGCGCTTCAGGCCGCAGAACATCCAGAGCTAGACTCCAGGCTCATGGCAGCACAAGCGATCTTCGAACGGACCCCGACGTGTCTTGTTATGGAAAGGACGTCCAATGTCCAAAGGAAAATGTACAAATTCTCCGAAAAATATCAGTAACTCTGAAGCCCGAATCGTCGAGGCAGTTCCGAGACCAACTGAGGCTGGCCAACACGAGGACCAACCCCGAACCAATTCCGGACCAATCCCGGACCAGAACAGAGCCACCCCAGAACTTGAACCCTGGAACCTCAAACCTTACTGGGCCACCCCAGTACTAAGTTGCAGATTGGTGAGTTTTCGTACCACCAAAATTGCTACAAGTGGTACGAGTGGTGCAAGTGGTCAAAACATCCAGGATGACCCAGATGACCAAGATTGCCAGCTTGACGCGTCATCTTGTCCCCCCAGTTCTCTCCCCGAGCAAGATGACCAAGTCGACGAAGACGACGCGTCCAGTTGCCCCCCCTCCTCCCCTTGCAAGATGACCAAGTTGACGCCTCGTCTGGCCCCCAAATTTAGCCGCCTGACCCAGATGATCAAGATTACCAAAACGACAAAGACAATTACCGGTTCTGGATTCCCGGCACAACGTATTATTGCTTCTACTTCTACTTCTACTTCTACTTCTACTTCTACTACTACTACTACTACTACTACTGCTACTGCTACTGCTACTGCTACTACTACGACTACTACGACGATGACGACGACGACGACGACGACGACGACGACTACTACTACTACTCCTGCTGCTACTACTACTACTACTACTACTACTCCTCCTGCCACTGCCACTGCCACTGCCACTGCCACTGCCATTGCCACTGCCACTGCCACTGCCACTGCCACTGCCACTGCCACTGCCGCTGCTACTGCTGCTACTGCTACTGCTCTTGCTATTGTTATTATTGTTATTCCTACTGCTGCCTGCTCCTACTCTTACTCCTGCTCGTGCTCCTACTCCCACTCCTGCTCCAAACTCTTACTCCTACTGCTATTGCCACTGCCACTGCCACTGCCACTGCCACTGCCACTGCCATTGCCATTGCTGCTGCTGCTGCTGCTGCTGCTGCTGCTGCTGCACCTGCACCTGCACCTGCTCCTGCTCCTGATCCTGATCCACTGCTTCTGGTGCTGTTACGACGACGACGACGACGACGACTACTCTTCTCTACTCTACTCTCGATCTCGAGATCCCACCGGTGTACCGATGCCGTATCGAGCAGTACCCTTTTGACCTGTCTTCTCCGCCTTTTGATGGGCATTGTGGACTGTGCACATCGGCGCCTTGATGTCCCTCTGGAGAGGGTCCATGTCCAACTCCGACACCTTGCCCGCCTGGCAAAGAACCAAAGCTGTGGCCAAAACCTCATGAGACCAGGATCCTGCACTGCTCCTTTCATTCTTTCCTCGGCGAGTGCCTTGGGCAGTGTTCCTCTTGTTAGTCCGCATTTGCGGCGAGAACCATTAACGCAGCGACTGCACTGGAGAGAGTCCAGCCCTGTCGCTGACCTGCAGGACCTAGCAAAAGACAAAAGTTGCAAAACTACAGAAACTACTTAGCAACTACTTCCTGATCCTGGCTCTGTTTCATGCGACTCAGGTGATGACAGTCGGGCTCTCACCTGCAGAGTTGGGACATGGAGCTGCGTCAGCGAAACACGAAAGGCCTCTGCTGCCCTCTGAGCCCAGCACGGCCAGTAAAGGCCTGCAACTGTGAAAGCTCAAGGGCAATGGCTGCCAGTGGTTTCACCACCTGTGCACAAGGATCCAGGTAAAGTGTTCTGCGGCTTCCTCTGACTGCAGGCCTCAAACTGGTGCAGGGACAGGTTGCCACTGGGTGGCTCGTACTTCTCGAGGTAGAGCCGCACGGTGGCGCCCGCCACTCCAGTGCCGGACAATCGGAAGACAATTCGCGAGTTGTCCTCGAAGATAAAGCGGAGGCCTTGCCTCTTGGAGACGCTTCCATCGACCGGATCCACGTATTCAAACATGTCGTTAATCTTAATCCTTGGGAAGGGGCACTTCGAGATTCGATTTCGCCACTGCCCTTAAATGCCTTAAATGGTGTCTGTGACTCTTGACCACATGCTTGGAGCAGAGACCCAACAGTTGCAATCCCCAACTTTCTTCGCCCGAGGCTCTTCATCCCACCGAGCTCTTGCCCGGCCAGCTCTCCCGTCTTGGCCTCCATGGCCGCAAACATCTCCTCCGCCTTCTGCTTGTCGACTCCTCCATAGGTGAAACATAGAGAACAAAGCTGGAAAGAGGGCGCCTTTTGGACCGATTGCAGGGCGCCCGCCTTCGTAGTCGTAGCGGGCGTAGTAGTTGCGCCCGTACTCCTGCCAGTGAGCCATGGCCACGTCCTCGACGGTGATGAGCCTGCCGGCCTCCTCCGTCTTCTTCGCCAGGATCTGCAGCCACGCAAGCACTGCCCACATGCCGTCCTTCTCCCGAACATGGTCGGCGCCAGTTCCGAAGGACTCCTCGCCGCAGATGAAAGGCGTGTAAGTCTCCTTCCCCGGAAAGTAGCTGGTGCCGCTGTCCATCAAATTTCCGAAGAACTTCCAACCTGTGGGCACCTCAAAGCATGGGATCCTCTTCTTCTCGGCGACCAGGTCTAAGGCCGCCGAGGTGGGCATGGACCTCGCGCAGCCTCTCAGTCCATCCCTGAACTGGGGGATCAGGTGGGAGTTGGCCACGATCATGGCCAAGGAGTCCGAGGGTGACACGAAGAACTGGGAGCTCAGGATCATGTTGCGATCGGCGTCGCCATCGGCCGCGGCACCGAACTTCGGGATGGCCTTGCCGGTTTCCACCTTCTGGCCCTCCTTGTTCAGGCCCATGTCGGCCACGAGCTCGACCTCAGGACGAGACAGCCAAGGGAAACGCCCTTGGCAAACCGAACCTTTTGGGTTTCAGTTGGGGCCCAGCTAGGGGCCTCAATGCTGCCGCCGAGGCACGGCGTAGGTCAAATTCGGATCTGCGTGGCCGTGCCACGCGGACTCCGGACCTCCGAAGTCGGGCTTCGGGCTCGCGTTCTTGCAGCTTCCAGCCGGAGCGCCCAGCTCTCCTCACAAAAGGGACATCTGAGAAAAAGAGGGGGCAAAGAGAGGCACTTCTTGACATCAAACTACGAGGTCCTTCCAAGATACCCAGTGCATAGGGCCCCTGCACACCAGACATGGAGTCATAGGTCATGCTGAACTCTGGGTGCACCATCAGCTTCTTGATGGACTCGAAGTCAAAGCACTGCTTCAGCACCGCCATGTGGTCCTCGACGCAATCGAAGATCTCCACGAGCTTGCCACCTGGGAGCTCATAGGTCTGCGGCTTGGAGAGGTCAAAGTCCGGGATTCTGCTGCAGGTCTTCAGCTCGCTGAGCTTGGCCGTCCACTCCACCATCTTGTCAGTGAGCTTCTCAGGGGCCGGGCCACCATTCTCGCAGTTGTACTTGATGCCGAAGTCGTCGTTGATTCCGCCCGGGTTGTGCGACGCTGAGCAAATGAATCCACCGAAGGGCTCCATGCCCTTCCCCCGGCAGCGGATGACTGCCGAGGTGGCTGGCGTTGACAGCAGGCCACCGGTGCCACACCAAACCCGCCCCACTCCTGCACAAGACGAGCACTGCTGGAAGGAAGTCAAGATGTTCTTCCCTGGTGCCGACCTATCCGGTTCGCCTACGACCGAGGAGTTAGGTCTCGAAGGTTCATTGAAACAAGCAGATCAACACCCTCGTTTCGTCTCTGCACAACCTGCAGCGAACGCCATCTTGATAATGATCTGGATTGCTTCCGGATTCCAGAAGCGGCCGTCACCAGAGACAACCAAAGTGCCTCCAGACACAGGCACACCGGACTCAAGCAGGGTGTTGAACACACTCTGCACATAGTTGGCCAGGTAAGTGCCCTCCATGAAGACCTGTTCGGAAACTTCAGTGTCTTTCACTCGCTTTCTTTGTATGCACAATCCCCAAAGTCCCGGCACCTTGGTCTTCTTCCGAAGGCCCGAGGTGCCGGGCTTCTGCCCTTCGATGGGCTTGGTGGCTATGGACTCAACGGCCATGTCGCAGTCAACCTTGATCACCATGCTGGGCGAGGTGGGCAAAGCCTCAGCCAAGGCAGCTCTTGCGCACCACGAGTCAACCGCAGCAGAGGCTGCAAGAACAGAACAAGAGACACAAGAGCCACTGTCTAGCGTCAAGCTCGCAGCGCCAACGACACCACTGTAGCAACATTCCACTACGAAATCTAACGAACAAGGTCAAAGCTACTGGCCAGAATCCCTGACCTGCATCCACAGGCAGCACAGACGGCACAACTGTCGCAACCAATACGATCTCTGATCACTTCAGAAACGCAATGCCAACTGTTGGGAACCCCAGGAAGTGGGCCATGCGAACGAGACCCGTGCGTCACCGCATGGGAAGTTCGAAGAAAACGTTAAGGTCCAAGTCTCGGCTGTCTTCAAAATGTGAGGACTGCCGAAAATGCCGAGGGGTCAGGGCCTTTTCTGGCCTGTCTTGAGCCAAACAGCGTCAAAGCATCACAGGACTTCATCCCCAGGCCCTTGTCCGTCAGAAGCGAGCGTTGGATTGCATTCTCTGGAAGTCAACGTCTGGGCCTGCAACGTCTCGACAGCGTTGGCGACATGCTGGGCGCAGCGAGTCACGGCCGCCTGTCTGGGCTGCAGGAAGTCTCGATTTTCCGGAGAGGACCTACAGTGAAAACCGCCCACAGGCCTTGACCTGTTCCTCGGTGCTGTTGCCCTCACGGCAGAGTCTTGTTCAGTTCTTGACTAGCTTTGCTGCGGAGGCTCTCCCAAGTCAGTTATCCTGAGAGATCTGTTCAGAGAGTCTTGAGGGTCGATCCCGACTATGGCCAGTAGCATGCTTGTACATCAGGAAAGATGCCTGGACATAGGCAAAAACCATGTCAACGATGAAGACAACCTGAGCGACAGGCTTCGGACAGTCCTTGTCAGTGCCGAGCGAAAGAAACCTCTTTTCGGAAACAAGCAACTTGGCATCTCCCAAAAAGGAACGAATTGCCGCCGACACACCATGATGGCCACAATGTTATCCAGGATGGCCAGGAACAGCTCCGCATCAGGCTGGTCAAACTGAGGGAGGTGTCTTAGCCTAGGCGGGACTCATAACTTTACCATCCTCTTTGCTGGACTGTATCCCCTTAGACTCTTGACTTTTGTCATGCGGCATCTGCACTCCGCCGTAGCCCACCTGACACGAGGCATGCAGGAGTCAAATCACAGCCACATGACAACTCGTTGCTGAGGCAGGTGCCCACAGTAGGCAGGCACGGTAGTACTTGGAGCCGGGGGCCAAGTAGCCAAACATGGCTAGGGTCCACATGATGAACATGACGACGAAGTACGCGAAGAAGCGCAACATGGAGGATGTCTTCTCTGCGCTCGTCCCACTGAGGATAAGTATAGCAGGAACATTGCCCACTGCCAGCCCCATGCCAACACCCAGAATGCGGTTGATGTTCGTGTCGAACGACGAGCCAGATGTTTCTGAGAAAATGAAGGAGGTAGCAACCACACAACCCATGCTGTAGCCGCGAGAATATACCGACCAAAGAAGTGCCAGCGTCCAGGAGACAGTGTTCCGGAGGGCAAACCAATGGCGACTGTTCGCGTCCTTCCCTCCAGATGCGCTCGGTGCAGCATCGTTCTGGCCTCAGCACCCAAGCCGGAACAAAGAAGAAACCTTTCTGGCCCTAAACCTGTCTCTCAAAGCTTTTCTCCTAAATGTCTCATTCATCTTCGCAGCGCGTATCGAAAGCGCTGAAGGCAGCAGGCCAGGAGCGCAATCTGGATGAGAAAAGCAGGGGCCCAAAAAAGGGGAGAAAGCACTTCTGTCACTTCTACTTTTCCGAGCGGCTGGTCCAGGAAAGCCATCTCAGAAGAAAAAGCATTCTCGGGCTTGGCCTGCTTCTCCAGAGCCTTGCACAGCACTTCCTCGGAAGTTATTCCGGGGCGTCACAGAAGAGCAGCCGGGCCGCGCAACGTCAACGGAGTCGGGAACCGAAACGGAACTCAGGGGCCGGGCGTTCGACCAAAATGTCAGAACGGCTAGACTGGACGGTGACATGTTGGAGAGATCTACCCGTTGCAGCATCCAGGGCTCGCGATGTCTGCTCACTGCTTGTGTATCTCGATACTGAGAGCGGCACGTGCTACAACGGCAACGCTCACTCCCTCCTGAACGCCTGGGGCCCTATACACTGCCAGCAAGTTCTTGCACGGCATTCCTACCAAACTCATCCAAACCCCATGCTGCACGATCCCCTGGAAATCAAGGTCTGCTCCAGTCCAAGATTCGTCTGCTTTCTTTGCGAGGCGCTGCAGCTCTAGACGCGTCTCCGTGCTGATGTCTGCCTCTCTCCACCCCGCAGCGGGAGCAAAACCTATGCTTTGTTCAAACATAAGCTGCACGTGTTCCGCCTTTTCGCATATATAGAACTGTACGCATACACATCCTATTCAGTGGTTACTGTGGCTCTCAATAGCACCATTGTCATGCTGTTTGTGCTTTTGACAGCAAGCCTTGTCCCGGCAATCCCGAGCCACTGCGGCGAGGCCCTCGCTGCAGGCAAGCACGAAGTCCTCTTGAAAAGGTGCTAATTTTTTCCTCTCATTTGATGACTACAACCTGTGCGAGGGCCGGGTTTCTTGGTAGCATTGATAGTAACAAATATTTAGTTGCTCTAAGGCTAGCTAGTCTAGCTACATCTAATAACTGTCACGGTTGCTGTTGGGGTTCATACTCCTCGAGCAAGAACTGCTCGCCCCTGCCAGTGGACTGGCCGAGGTAGCGCATCAAGCCACTCTGGATGCGGAGGAGCTGCCGTAGCTGCCGAAGAAATGCGGCAACCTGCAGCAACTGTGCCGTGTATTCTGGAATCCCTAAACCCTAAACCCTAAACCTTAAACTCTAAACCCTAAATCTTTCAGTGGAGCTGCTTTCTGCAGATTCTTGTGTTGCTCCCGTGTGTGGCCAGAAACCCACGACTCCCACGCGACCTGCAGAGTCACAGGGCTGCGGAGGTGATCCAAAGTGTGGGGTAGTGAGGAAGGCGGCTCACGACAAATTGTGCCTGTGCCTGGTCCAAAAGCGCCTCCGCAGTCGTTCGGCGCATGCCCAGCTGTCGGATGTAAAAGTTGGAACTGTCTGCGTGGAAGGGAAACTTCCAAGCTTCCTGCTGGAGGATGGTCAACAAATACTCCAAGCAGCCGGCCGTGTCCTCTGCCAGTTGTGCCAGCTCGGTTGCTGCAGACCACATGCAGCTGTGTCTCTTCACGGACTCGCGGCTCCAGGGAAGGAGGCCGAGGGAGGGGATGGCGAGCAGTATGGCAAGGACGACAAGCCAGAAGCCACACATGGCCACCCCATTCCAATTCCAGTTAAACTCCCAATCCCAGATCACCGCTCGGAACCCAGATGTTGTCTGAGGGTTCATGAAAGGAACCAGGAGCTCTGAAAACACTCCTAAAGCATATTGCTTCTGGCCAACGGATGTCGAGCTGAAGAACAGGAGGTATGTTGAGCAGACTGCAAAGAGGATCGCTGCGAAGCTGTGGTACCCAAAAGGCAGCCAAGCTTTTTGCCAGAAATCCTCTGGCAAGTAGTTCATCCCGCCGGCCCCTCCGGGCATCATCAGATTTAGCAGACTCGCCATGCAAAGCCCGGTGGAAGCCCCCAGCAGAGCATCGTGGATGCCGCTGATCAAGCAGCCAAGATGTGGAGTTACCAAGAAAGCATACCAGAAAGGAAGGAAATGATAAATTCGCATGATGTTGGTGGGCACCAAGCTGTACGAGCTCGCTGGGCATCTGTCCCAACCTTTCAGAGAAGCCTCAACAGTAAGAAGACAATCATAATGGCAACGGGGATGAATACGTACAAAATAAGCATACATGCTGCATGTAATGTTTATATGTACATATACATATGCATTCACATATACATATACATGTACATAGCTATACACATACACATATACATATACATACGTACATACGTACATACGTACATACGTACACACGTACGTACATACATACGTACATACGTACATACGTACATACATACGTACATACATACATACATACATACATACATAGATAAAGAGATAGAGAGATTGATAGATAGATAAATAGATAGATAGATAGATAGCTAGTTAGATAGATAGATAAATAGTTGGTGACATAAATATATATAGACGGATGGATAGATTGATAGATGTACCTCTATATATATATATATATATCTGTGTGTGTGTGTGGGGGGGTTACATAAACATATACCGTCTTACAATACATCCCGACATTTTAAACAAGCCTTTCCCAGACCTCGTTCATGCCACCTCCCCGGACTGAGGTCTTCCTGAGCCCCCCCGACACTCACAAACCCTAGACCCTAAACCCTAAACCCTACAAACCCTAAACCCTAAACCCTAAAGCCCTACAGACCCTAAACCCTACAAACCCTGAACCGCAATCGCTAAAGCCCAAGCCACGCTGGCAGACCGCTCGGAGCAAGGGAAAAGCAGTGGCACGGCGCCGATGGCCACGTAGACCACGGCAGAGCGCAGAGCCAGAGCATACTCGAGCTGCAACGTGCCTAAGAACTGAAGCTTCGTTGGGACATTCAGGTTTTCTTGCAGTCGTGGTTTCAGGGATTTCAAGACATTTCAAATTCAAGAGTCGGGATGTATGCCTGGGGTTTTTGAGGTTCAGTGAGCTTAGGGTTTACTTGTGCGGGTTTCCGGGTCGGGGGCTCAGGCACGTATGCCTCTCCTGGGATGTAGGGGATCGCGGCACCTACATGCCAATGCATCTAAAACTACCACGAAGAGTCCCATGACCCGAGGCTCCTCCTGCCATTGAATGCAAGTGAGATGCTCCATCCACTCCGCGGCCTGCAAACGAGTAGAATTGTACAGATACATGCGCAGCCCCTGCATAGCCTCTGTATGCAGTGGCACACAAGCGACATGTCGACCACCGAGGTTCCCCCCTTGAAGTGCCGGGTTTGGTGTGGGGCTTGGTGTCACCATTTGATTTGTTGGCGCCCGCTGTTCTTATGTCAATGTGAGGACTGGAGCTTTTTTGTTTTGCCAACGCGAGCACCACGTATTCCATTGCAGCTCCGAAACCCGAAAAAAGGCTCGGCTCCTTAAGGGCGGCCTCAAAAAGCACCAGCTGCGCTTGAGAAATATCAGCAGCAGCAGGCAGGCGAAGAAGAATACCAACCACAAGCTCGCCACCGCCATGGGCTGCCAAAGTCTGCCAAAGTGCTGCTGGGCAATGCACAACAAAACGATCATGCGGCTGGTGCTGGGCTTGCGCAAGCCTAATTCTTAACATCCAGCTCTGTGAGACAATGCAATGGCATGAGGTCTGGTCTTCAGCATAGTTAAGGCAGCAAGGAAGCAGCTGGAGACAGAAAATATGTCATTCAAACCAAAAGTGAATCCAAGGTGGAAAAGAAATGATTGCAAAAGGTAGAAGTATGGTAGATCGGGACCAAAGGCAAAATGATGGTGAATTCAAAATCAGAGGAAGAACCCAGGTGGGTAACCAAAAAGCGCGAGCTCGAGACCGCAATGCCTAGGCCTTGATCGCACCAAACCCCGAGACTGGACCCAAGGTCCAACCAGACAAACGCCGTTCCCCAGCTGCTGGACTCTGCCCTGAACAAAACCCGTGTATCAATCCAAGACCCTAAAAGCTAAATAACCCGCAGTCGCAGGACCTTTGATTGGAATTGGAAAGAAACAGCTGCGAATTGCTGGGGCTCTGGATGCTAGATAATTGTACACCTATCCCACACTATAACCCTAGACCCTGACAGCACAAGCCGCGCTCTGCTGTCTCCGCTCTGCGTTCTCTCTGGTGCCTTCGGGTGATGTGGCGCTGAGACAACAAACAGGGCCCAGTCCTAACTGTCTAACTCGGCTCAATCCTTCGATTCAGCAGAGCGGACTGGGCCGGCTTCCAGGTCTAGAGTTCTCTCCACACGAGCCCCCGGCCTCCCAGCATGAATTTCATCCTTGAGGCTTTGAGGCTTTGGGGCTAGGCCAATCGACAGTTGCCACAGTTTGGCACTGTCCCGGCGCCGAAGCCCTGCTCGAGTTTCACGATGTGGCTGGGACCACCGCTGCAACTGATGTCCACATAGCAATCGCTGTGGCTTGAGTGGCGCACTTTGCACAAGGAGGGCGGTCCACGCTCCTCCGGGCTGCTTTGAGGAAAAAAGCACTGTGCGCAAAACAGCCAGCGTTTGAGGACTGTACCTCAATCCTGCCCCGCCCCATATATTAAAAAGGACCCAGCCTTGCTAATCTCGCAGGGTTCGGCCCTCAACCCCAGGGCCTGGACCCTTTTTTCCTACACTCTAAGAGCTCTTCGGGGAGGTCCTTGTAGGGGTTTCTGCACATGTTCAGCTTGGGAGCTTCCGGCTTCGGCTCCTCCGGCTCTTCTTCCTGGCATAGGACAGCAAAAACCATGGGCAGCTGTCTAAATTAGGCTCCCTTTTAGGATCCCTTTTATAAGGGTGCCGTACTTTATTTGGGACCTAAAGAGGGACCCTAGTTGAGAGAAGTACCCACATGGTCAAACTGATCTTATCAATCAACACAGGCACCCTTCATTCGTGGAGGTATGTTACTGTCTGCAATGCTTCACCACGCGGCTATTGGTTCTTCTACAACTGAAAAAAGAACAACCCTGGACCCCTGCACCCTAAAGAAGGCGCCTCTCGGAGATCTTGCACGAGAGGAGGCGCAGGCGGAGGGACGTGGACATGGGCCTGACAGCACGAGCGCAATTCCTATGATCTCAGGCCTTCCATGCTTGTTAATGAACAGAATTTGAGTTACCATAATTGCAACCCATCGAAAGTATTGTGATTTGGTTTTGGTGGTAACTCGTAATTTAACCAAATAACTAAGTTCTTGAGAACGTAGGTTTTTGTTTCTTTGAGGCCAGGCTTTTGTGAGAGGTGAGCTCTGGTCCTTTTGACCCCGGTGTGGGAAACGATCCAGCAGTACAGTAGTGAAAGCATTGACCTAGTATGTAGTATCTCGTATATGCCTTTCTTGGCCAGCAAGGCACCGGAGGAGTCTAGTTATGCGACATCTTGATATTAATCCAATGATATCTGCAGGCCTCCACCTGAGGTTGCAGAGTCATCTCCGCAACTGGAATCTCGGGACTGGGACTTGCACGGACATCCGATAGCCACTCGGCAGACATCAAAGTCGAAGGTTCAATGCGGTCGTCCTGACAGGAAACCACTTGAAGGATCAGCGGGGGTAGTAGGGCTTTAAGTCATGTCACTATGGTTGTATCTACTTATACACCCAATTAGTGTACTTATACACCTGCTGGTAAACTGAGTCCCATGATCCACTCAGCAAGAGGTCGGGAGATGCTTTCAGCTGGCAAGGCATGGCAGGCTGTCCAAACTACAAGAACCACCGATTCTCAGATGGAGATGGTCATCGCACCATATCTGGGAATGCGCACAATCCCTGTATTAGTAAAGTATTAGTGACCGTGCCCTGGTGCAAACCCATGAACGGCGTGCCTGTCCCTTGACCACACATGAATCGGAATGGCAAGCGGAAGGTGCCCCTTTTATTGTATGATCCTCATTAACAGGATCCCCAAATAAGGAATAACCCCCCAANNCCCCCCCCCCCCCCCCCCCCGCTGCGTCGCCTCTCTGCCCGCCAGCAAGGAGTGCAAAAGGGACATTGCTGTCGGGGAGTTGTAGAGCCAGGACTGCTTCCTTCATTTCTGCGGGTTCTTGGTCCCAGCAGATTCCATGCAGACCCAACAAGAAATGGTCGCGTTCCCGGAAACATCGCACTAACCGACTAACTGAAAACATCAAAAGCAAACACAACTGAGAGCTCGATGCCACCATAGTCTCAGGAGTTGCACATTGCCAATACCTTGCTCCACGGCGCTGTTGTAGACAAAGTGGCGTCCATTGGCATTGTAGTACAACGATCGTCCGACGACTTCCTTCACTGCTGCGTCGATGGACACCTTGCCTAGCGCCAGATCTCTCTTGGGCTGATAAATTCCAGCATCTCCAGCTGAGCACACCTTCTTGGGCTGCAAGATGTAGAAGATCCCTTTCTGGTTCTGCAGGTTTCCTTTGTTGGAGAAGTAGTCGTTCTTGGGGTTGAAGAAAGGTGGCACACCGGTGCCGATTTCGGCCAAAATCAGACCCATGGCGAAGTCATCGAAAGTGCGAGTGCCTTTCTTGTTGGTTCTTGGGTCCGCGTTCTGGTTAAGATTGTAGTACATGTTGGCGAGGCTTCCTGACAGCCAGCAGAACGGACTGGACCCTGACTGCAAAAAAAATCTGGTGACAGGGCCGTGAAACATTGATAAACGGTGTAACCTGGCAGTATGAAGAAACACTGTTTGCTCATCGCCGGGAAGTCCAACCCACAATGAGCCATTAATCGCTTTTCAGAGATGTGGCATCTATCTACTATCCCCCGCAGGTCCTGCTCGTTGGTCACTGGTCAACATGGCTAAACCAAAGTCGATGATCTTGATGATGCCGCCTCAAGAAGATGTCGCGGTTTAAGGTTTAGAGTTTGCACTGAATGTTCCATTGCAGCTTTGCAATCAAAGCACAATCAAAGTGAAATGGGTGATCCCAGGAGGACGTTTGGCTCAAACATTCAATACGACAGAGGGCGACGGTGTGTTGAAAAACTGCTCCTGTTTGTGCACTTGCAACAGAAGGCTCGACACACTCACCCTTCCAAACCTGCATTTAACCTCTGTGAGACAGCGCACCTTGCAGAAAAGGCTTCGTCAACATGATGTTGTCAGGCTTGAGATCCTTGTGTACCACGCCGCATTGTCCAAGCCACTGGAATCCAGCGGCCAATTGGCCGTAGAGCTTCTTGGCCAGGGCTTCATCCGTCAACAGCGCCTAACATGGCCAGCAACACCTTCATAAAATAAAACGGTCACACTTACGGAACATCTGCTGGCTTTCGCCTCGCGGAGTGCCTCTGCTATGGCCACCCGATTGTCTTGCTCAGTTTTTCCAAGGCACATCTCCCAGTGGAGTCCGAACACCACTCACTGTTCCCTCTGCACTTACGCCGTCGTACAGGGTGTCTGACAGGCTGCCACCAGCCGCCAACTCCATGATTACCACGCCTCTGGCACGGAATCGAGCAGCAAAACTTTGAAAAGCGAGGCTCCTACAGGTAGAAAAGAGCAAGAACCGCTTGAAACTAGCGCCCATGTGCTCCGCCTCGAGACTGCCAATCGATGACTTCAAAGTAGCGGATGATGTTCGGATGGGGGTAGCCCGGGCAGCGCTGCATGTGCTTCCAGACCTCGGAGGCAGGGTGTCATGTCACGTGCACACTCTCTAGGTGCTTCGCAAATGCCAAAACACGCAAAAAGCAGTCTGGAGACCAGAGAAGTAGCAGATCACAGACTCCGCATTCAATGAAATGACCAACTTTCCCTGAAATGCACCGTAGCGATGGGCAAGCCAGACCCAAACCGCCCGAAGCGTCCCGGTGTTCCAGGCCCGATTGCTCCCATGCAGCTGAGATGCACGCTGCTCCGTGCGAAACGATGTCGATGACTCCTCCGATCCGATGGAGATGACTTTGGCCACGACTTGCCTGATGCAGCGGCAGCTGGATACTTCTAGTAGTATTCGTATAGTCATTGTACGTAAAGCGAATATGTAATGTTCAACCGTAGTATTTGTAGAAATCGTCGTGACAAGTGAGGCTTGCAATGCTTCAACAATGTTGCAGCACGCTGATGCTGCAATGACTCGATTTCACGCACGCAACATCACGTGCGGGACTGGCCTTCCGGTCTGCTGCTCTGTGGCCAAGTAAACCGTCCCGTAAGCGCCGCTACCCTTTCTTTCGCCAAGCTGGTAGTGGCCATACTCACCTCGGTACACGGAAAACGCTACAGGCATTGTGCTGCAGGCAAACAATACAGGCATACAGACTTTCTCGAAATTTCGCAGATGTGCTGCAGCATGCACTTGCAACCTGCAAAACGGCTATGTATCTTCGTGACAAGCTGCCATCAATGATCTCGTTTGAAAGACCTTCGGTAAAAGCCCTGATCTCCAACTCAGTCACGGAGTTGTGTCTCCTGCAGGGAATCGGGCTTCGCACAAGAATTGGTTTGACCATGTTCTTTTTTCATAAACTGACTGGCAATATTCGCAGGAAAAATCGGTAATTTTTGCTCAGTCTAACATAGACAGTGTCTCAATCCACGGATCTCCTTGCCGCGGCGGCAAGGTGCAACTGAAGTATGGACAGCCAGAAGAGCATCGCGAGGAGCGGGTCTACCAAGCAAGTATTGCACAAACACGATATTTCTGGCCAATGTGGCTGCAGCGGGTCAAGGAAGCAACAAGATCAAGCAAACTTGTATTTTCGACCCTTAGCCTGAAAGGTCTCCATCAAGCATGTGCGACCGGATACCACTCAGCCACCGAAGGGAACATCGAGGGGGAAGCTTTTTGCGCTGATTCACGCCAGATGGGGCACCATGTCGAGTCTGTGGGGGCCCTGCAAAGCTGGCCAAGAGGTTTCGTGGCTCACGCGTGTAGGCATCGAGCACCTTGGGCTCATGTGGCTGTCCTCAGCACGGCACATGCGATGTGTGGATGTCTCGGTTCTCAACACAGAAAGTCATTAGGCGTCGTACTCTCGCATCTTCCGCTCTTGGCGTCCGCCTACAGGCAGACCCCGCAATTGGAAAAGCCTGCATCTTCCACGGCTTCGACCTGCTGCAGGCTGCCACGTGCTTTGATTGTCTGTCGTCGGTTCGAACTTCAGCAGCTGCACTTCGCGAGCCTTCTCGAAGCCAAACCTTAGTGCACAAGCCACAAGCTGCTTGGGAGTGCGGCCATGCTTCACGCATGAACAGAGCAGGATAAAACGTTAGCTGCACATGCACAGTTTCATCCCACGTCTGAGGCGAGAACTGCTTTGATTGCACCTGCTGCATCACGGCATCGATGCGCTGACATAATCCCAACCCGTTTCTGCTGCTCATGACTCTCTGGCCACTCTTTGGGTTGAATCGTTCCAAAACAAATCTCAAGATGCCTCCGCAGACGCGGGTGTAGGCTCTGTAGCCCGGAAACACTGGAAACACTGAGGGGCCTCACGGCATTTGGAGTCGCAGTTGCAATCCGAATCCTACGACATGGTCGATGTTGAGCTGCGCTGAAACGGCCGTAAGGGTCCGACAGAACCAGAAAAAACGTCACGGAGTCCCTGTCAAAGCAGTCAAACCCTGCTTCATGCACTAAATGCAGCAAGAAATTGTGGGCGCATGAAGCCTCCCATGCATCGAGGGCTGCTGTCCAGAGCGACTTTGCCACCTTTGCTCTGCTGACATCAAAGCGCTGCAGCTTCCATGCGCCACCACGGCATCAAGCCAGCCTGCAGAGCCTGGTCGCATGAGCAGGAGACGGCCCCTGCAGTGTTTGTCAATGGCATGGCACTCATAACCGATCCAAAAGCGTAAGAGCCAGGCCCAGACAAGACTCAAGAGTCAACACGATACTTGCCCATGCCTGGCGATGCTATTGCGCTGGCCTTCTTTGGGAGCCTCTGGCCCTGTGCAACTAAGCGCCTGCATCAGCCAGCAGTTCCGGCCTCACACGCTGCATGGCTCCAAGGTGCTGTGGCCAACATCACCGAAGTGTGCCAAACTGACGACGGGAGCTGAGAGCCCGGCTCTCAGTGGCCTGCTCGATAAAGACCTCTTCTGCTGATGATGACACGGCTAGTCTTTGGATTGGATTGTTCAAAGTGTTGTGATTGTGAGGCGAAGCGGATGTTTTTCATATGTTGGAGCTTCGGGGGCACATCTTGCACGCATCCCCCCTTAAACCTCACCAATGTGCGCCTCTGGCTCTGCAGTCATCATCTCGGAAGCCACTTTGCCAATAACTAGCAGAAATCTACAATAGCCGCTCTAGCCCTCCAAGCACCAATCTCTGCAGCCAAATGCTGACATCGGACATACTCACTGGAGGCTCTAGCCATTTGAGGCGGCGGGCTGAAGCCCTTACACCACAAATTGTTTGGACATCCTGGCAACCTTGAGTTTCTGGGAAGGGACACCGAAAAGCAAGCCAAGCATTGCCTGCCTGACCTGAAGTGGCACTGCTCAAAACTGATGTGCAACAAACATACAGCTGAGGACTGCCTCGCAACACACAGACCTACTTCCAGAATGCACATTATGCGACGATTCCTAATTCGGAAACGCGAAGAGGTACGTCCAGAATGAATACATGGTCTTGCTTTTGTTTTTGGGAAAGGGGGGGTATTGAAGGAAAAGCTAGCTTGGCGTCACCTCGTGCCAAAGGACCCGCGTTTTCCTCCAAAGTGCACGCCAACCTGATGTGCGTAATGCTGCCAGGGCTGGTGTTTGCCGCGGCTCCTCACGATGGGGTGTTACGCCACTCTGATTCTTGCCATGTGGAAAGCAGCTTCTTCAACATCAGATGTAGCAGCACACTGCCATCACCGTAATGGGTCACGGTCACGGGAGGATCGAGGGGCATAAAGTCTGTGCGAATGTTCCGCAGATCCGGCTGGGGCCAACATGTCTGTTTCCGAATTTGGCGATTCAGCTGCGCAACTGTTCGCCCACTCTTCACGCGCGTGGTCCCTGCGAAAGATGCATCATGGCCAATGCGGGTCAACCATCTCGATGCCGCGACGCTCTTTCAACTGCATCGTGGCTCTGCTTAGCAAACCTGCAGATCTGTGGTCTCAACAACCTCCGCCATTGCGCATGTCCGGAAAGGATCGTTAACGAGCTGCTGGAAGTTGGAAAGACTCGATACAGTTAGGGCAATGGAGTTGCTCACGACGTCCACTGAAGCATGCCAAAGCTCCTGTACTGCTCGAAACCCGTTCTCCACATCCATATGAGCGATCAGCCCAGAGATGTCTGAACGGTACAAGCCTCTTCGAGTCCGGTATGCCGAAAGAAGGGATGCGCGGATCTTCTGGTACAACGCTGTGTCCGTCTCAGCAAACAACTTCAATGCCTGCAATGCACTGCTCCGACAAGCTTCACTGCTGTTGGCCCCACATGCTTCTGCAAGCGCTTGTACACAGGCTACGTTGAACCTCCCCAACAGTACGGGCACGCATTTGCCAAAAGCCCGACAGATTTCGACGCGGACATCATCATCCGCGTGTCGCAACCAGTACAACATGTCCTTGACAAAGAAATGTCGAATGCCTTTACTTTTTGCTGATTGAAAACAGTGTCCAGCCCAAACTGCCATTGTCCACTGAGCGTTCTTTGAGATACTCTCTTCAGGGTGGAGGCAGTGTTCGCGTAGCTCCCGTGCCGCTACCAACAGGGCGTCGGGCCAGGTTCTATGCCAAGCGTTGATGCCCTTGAAGAAACACCACAGTCCTGCAAGGATCTTCTCACACAACAGTACATGGGCAAGCTGGGCGAACGCATGAGCCATGGTCAAAACTCCTTCCGGTAGCTCATAGACATTCTGTACATTCCTTACATGACCCCCTCTAGGACTAGGAGGTTTAGGCCATGGCCCGGAAAATAGAAATTGATCTTTTTGACGCTGTTGTACCTGTGTCGCATGCCTGCAGCTCGTCGCCATCGCTGGTGGTGATGGCCTTGCACCAGCTTCCAGTGACCACGAAGATGCCAGGCCTTTGCGCTGTGATCCATGCGAAGAAATGCCTTAAATCTCGCGCATTTCACTAGGACACTAGGACCCTTGCTTGGAGAGCTGCATCAAGTTCATGAAATACTCCAGGAACACCTGGAGTAGGCAGTGATGCAGCAAGGCCCGACTGCAAAAGTTCAACGCACGGAAGCAAAATTGCGCGCAGCTGCCTCTTGAGGCATTTTTTCACGAAAGTCTCGGCAAACAGCACGTAGTGAAGCACTGTCACAAGCCTCGGCTCACAGAGAAGGGGCACCCTCCACAGCCTTTACACTTAGCCACCGAAAAGATCTAAACCAATCATTGTTATCAGCAGAGCCGCTGCGAGGTGTCTGGAGAGCACGTCCGGAAGCCTCGTATGTAAGCAAGGTTGGACCATCATAGACACTTCGCGGTGCATTGACAAGCGCTATGTAAACTCCAAAGCTGCAAAACCAACAACTCAGGACGAGTGGCGCAAACAGCATCTCGAGGGAGAGAGCCGGAGATTGAACCTGATTCCGAAAGTCAAAAAGCCCTTCACCGGCTCCCGTGTGCTGCGACCGTGCGACTCAAAAATGCACGAGAAGATCAGTTGTTAAGGAGGCGAACAACGACCAAGCCTACTGCTTGTAGGCGATGCACCGCTATAGGGTGTCTAAGCTCACTTTTGCATAGCATCAAGCAGAATCAAGAAAGCTGGTCTTTCGAATCGAAATACAAAGCTCAGACGGTCAAGACAAAGCATGTGCCCGACACGACAGGAACTGCAGGGTGACTTGTTTCAAAACGAACATCGCACCATACAACAGCACCAAGGCACAATGCATGCGAGCCCATAGCCGAACGAAGTAAATTTATCTCAAACCCTGCCCAGATTTAAAGTAAGCTTACGAAAATCTGCCGCCTGCTAACTCTGGAAATGCTTTATTTCCTAATACGCGTTTCAGATGCGTTTGGGATCCGTTCAGGGTTTTCCGGGAGATTGCGTTTTCGGTCCGTTTGGGATGCGTTCGGGATCCAGCTGGTTTCATCTGGGACGAGTTTAAAGTGCGTTTGGAGTGCGCTTTGGGGTCTGTTTTGAGTGGGGTTCGGCCCCCAACGGATCCCCAAATGGATCCCCAAACGGATCCCAAAACGCACTTTTCTTGGAGGAAAAGTGCGTTTTTGGATCCTTTTGGGGATCCGTTGGGGGGCCGGTGGGCCCGAGCGGATCCCCAAACGGATCCCCAAACGGATCCAAAAACGCACTTTCTCGAGAAAAAGTGCGTTTTGGGATCCGTTTGGGGATCCGTTGGGGGATCCATTTGGGGATCCGTTGGTGGGCAGGGGGCTCGGGGCGGATCCAACAATGCACTTTTTGGATCCGTTTGGGGATCCGTTTGGGGTTCCGTTCGGGGATCCGTTCGGGGATCCGTTCGGGGATCCGTTGGGGGGGGAGGGGCCGGAATCCAGGATACGACGAACTAGCAAACAGACTCCTCGGACAAAGACATCCCAAACGGACCCCAAAACGCACTTAAAACGGACCCCAGAACGCACTTCAAACGCATCCAAAACGGATCCAAAGCGCATCCAAAACGCACCTGCAAACACATAGGCATTCGACACGGACTCCCAGCAACATTCCCCCATGCATTTAAAACGCATATTTAGGTTTTGCACAACACTGGTCCCAGTGTTAACAGAACCAGATTTTCATAAAGTAAGCAAAAATGCGGGCATACATGGCATCAAGAAGCGAAGCACAAAGTACTGGAGACCTAAACAGCCTCCGGCTCTGCCTCAAAATGCCTCAAACATAAGTGCTCATGCTGTCCACTGTCATTGCTGGGCACCCCACCTCCACGCCGGCGTCGGAATCGCCGGGCGGACTTGCTGACACCTTGCAGATTGTTGTCGGACCCCTCCTTGCCACCAAACGCATGCCGGCCTCCCCCTGCCCAAATCCGTCCTGTCCGCACTCGGCCTGCAGACAAAGCGCGAAAGGTCAACTGCAGAACAGTTCCACGGCGCGCCCACTTCAACTCAATCAGAGCCTCGACTTGGATGAACTCGAGATCCTCGCAACTTCATGGCCACATGCCTTCTTTTTCTTGCAACATGCAAAAACCAAGACAGCCCACTCGAAGGGCTCTGCCCGATGACAGGCCAGCCCCTTTGCGAACAGGGCACATCATGACAAAATGACAACAACTCCCGCTCCTCTTCTGAATCCGTTGGAGCTGCTGTGGGCACCGACACTGCGGACAGCCTTCCACAGTGCTGTTCCCAAATCCTTTTGCTTGGTTCTTCTTCCCTTCAACGGTACAATGGCCAAAATGCACAACGTGACTGCAGCTGCATGCTTCCGACTTGCTATGTAAAATATTCCCGACATAAACGCGGAAGCCATCTGTACACGACGAGCGTGGCAACATGGCAGTTCTGATCTGCTGCAACCGTATACACTACCTGCAGTGGCCAGCCATACTGTTCCTGCCTTCGCTGGAACTTACCCCGGCTGTCGGGCTCCGGTGCCTCACGGAATTGGACTGGCAATGGAGCAACGGTATCAAGTACCGCTGTCGCATGCTCAGAAGCTGACGAGCGCAACCGGCTGCCTAAGTGGATGTGGAATTCAACTGAGTAAAGCTCTAACCCTGATGGCGCAGCTCCAAAGCTGGGGCCGAGACGCGGCCTCCAGAGCAGGCACATGACTTGTGACGCATGCCTGCAGGCCACAGCTTCTCTCTCTCTCTTGGCCGTGATTTTTGTTTGCACACTCCTTTTTCCGTTGCTTTGGCCTCCGCAAGCCCGGCCAAGCCAGTAGAGCTGCTGCCTGACAAGGTACGCAAATGCAGCACCACTGCCCACCTACTGTACTGCAAAATCGCCATGCTTGGCCTGATGCAGGACCGAAGGGATCACAAATCCCTGGATGGACGCAAGGCTGCGGCACTACAAACTGGGAGCATCTTGGCTTCTGACACTTGCAGACGCCGCTGCACCAGGTCATGGTTGCATGCACTCGGGAAGGCATGGCTGCGTGAAACACGCCGAGTGGAAGTACGAGCATGTCGAGAGCTGATGACTCATCAGGGCATGCATCTGCTTGATGCACACAATGGTGTAAGCATGTGCGAGCAAGCTTGAGCACCCCATCAAGAACAGTCCCTGCCATGGGACAATCGGACATTGCAGTCTCTGCGAAATCAAACTGCACAAGATCTGCGTTTTTTGTTGTTAGCCCATCATCTCCAGAAAAAAAGTTAGACGTATGTTGCATGTACATGTTTTTCTCTCTCATTTTTGCCCTGCAGCTATTTTTCGACCGTACAATCACGATAAGGCCCAACGGCGCCGTGCGGTTGCACTCATCGGGAAGTGCAGCCAACAAGCGGCAAGCGCACACTGGGCGGTGACGGCACTGCAGCCTGGCCCCAGCATGGCGACCGAGTGAACCGTCGAGCAAAACAGTGCCCGTGACAAAAACAGAGTTTGGGCGATAAAGCCGAAAAGTCCAGGGCCCCCAGCACGTTCAAGATGCTTGTTTGTTGGCACAGGTGTCGTGTGATAAAGATTTTGTAATGATCTGAAATGAGGCCTAGTGAACTGTCGGCCCCAGGTTCTGCTAGTGGCAATTGCGCGGCGCTCGCGCCAAGCAACGCGGATACGCTATTGGAACAACGGCTGCGTGCTCAACCAGCGGAGTAGGTCAATCGCTTGGACAGTGCATCAAATCCTATGAAACCGTGAGGCACCTCGTACTCGTACCTCCAATCGAGGCAGCAGATTTGTCGGACAATACCCACTGTCGACCTGTAGAAACTGCCGCGACGCTGCAACACTTGACTCGTTTTTCGTTCGCGCTGAATACTGTTGCCTGCACGCAGGCGCTCGATGCCCATGCTACTGGATCTCATGCTCCCCGAGCACTTGGGGCGGCAAGCGGTTCGTTGATTTTCTAAACAAGATCCCTGTCTTGTGCAAGTGCTCAGGGCCTGAAATGTTGCAACGTTTTCCATGCAAAACTACACACATGGTCCAAAAGCTGCATAACTGTTCCAACAAAACGAAGTACAGGGCACAAAGGGAAAATGTGCATCACTCCGCCCGGACATGCGAAGTTCTCTGCGGAGACCTACTGTGAGTTAAAACAGCACTGCCAAAACAAAAGCTAGGCGCTCACTCTTTTGTTTTCGCAAAGGCTGCCAAGTCGGTGCGAGGGAATGCGATGCCAGGAATAAAGTGGATGCTTGGCGAGGCGATGCCCGGCGGCCCAGCGCATGCCCCACGTCCGAACTTCACGGTTGGGTGGGGCGGGCACTTCTTTTGAGAGTGGTCGTGTACTCGAATAAGCAAAACAATCAGCGCAGCAAAATCGATCAATATCACTCAAACATGCATGCATCTCCGAAGCGCTCAATCCTTTTATGGGCGCAAAGGCAGATGGGCTTCGGATCAAACCGCGGTGTATCGCCGGAGCCCGTGTGGTAGTTGCCACGTAGCTGAAGCGTGCCATTCGTAGCCCGACTTCGCACCGCGCCGCTCGCCGCAAGAGGCAACGGGCTAGGACAAGACTTCATCGTCTTCGCTCTTTGCGGCTTCAGCCGTGGAGGCGCGACTGCACCATTCAGAAGACACAACAACCCTCGCGGTACAGCGAGATGGAAGTGGATGCTGAGACATCACCAGGCTCTGGAGCTTCTCCAGGGCGAATAAACTGCCTGTCCTTCGCATAGCTTCTAGGTCCTAGGTTAGAGGGTGGAAAACAACTTCATCTTTGGAACATAGCATACTTCCAAATAAATCTTTCGATATAAATTTTCTCAATCCAAATATTTCAGAGAACAATCCATATATATATATGATCGCCGCCCCTCCCATGACGCGCACCTATCCATAAAACCTCGGCAGGCACGATAAAAATGGC